CAACAAACAATAGGGAAATGAAGAAAGTCAAAATCTTATTCTTTAAAAAGATCAACAAAATGTATAAACTCCTAGCTAGATCAATCAAGAAATAAAAGAAGTAGAATACAAATCTCCAATATCAGGAATAAAAATAAATCCTACAGAGTTATACCAGCAAATTTTACAATTCAGAAGAATACAAATTCTATGAAAGATACAAATTTAATAAAGAAATAGACAACCCTCTATTTATTAAACAAATTGAATTCACAATTAAAAAATTTCCCACCGAGAAAATTACAGGCCCAAATACTTCACTGGTAAATTCTACCAAACATTTGAGGAAGAAATAATACTCATTCTACACAAAATATTTCTGAAAATAGAAGAGACCAAGTTAATTATATGAGGCCAGCAATAATGTAGTCCTTTGATAGGAATCAGAAATCAATGTCTTAGTAACTAACAGTCCCTCACCTTTGTGAGAAATGCTGGATGGTTGGCTGTCGCCTTTGGCCTAAATTTCTTAATAGGTCTCAGTTATAACAGAAACCCATTGTTGAGTATGAGGAAGAATCCACTTTAATATCTCTGCTTAGGTGGAAAACCAGGAAATTGCTTCACTCGGCATGAACTCTAAAGGCTAAGAAGTTGCTCAGATATTTTAGCAAGACTAAGAATAAAGTGATGTATCCAGGAAGAAAAAAAAAAGGCAGCTACTAAGCTATGTGGCTAAACCAGGACAGAGACTTCTCACAGCACTGAGGTAGAGGGTTTCAGGGTGCCAGCAAATTATTTCACATTATCACTTGGGATCCTAAAACCCATGATGTGTGAACTAATTTACGAGCTGAGCACATGGCCACATGATAAGGCCTGACCCTACGAGGGCTGACATAAGAAAGAGAGATGCTGAGACAGTGCTAGACGAAGGATAATTATCATTCAACCCATCCATCCAAGAAAATGCTGCAAAGGACTGGAAACAAAAAGTAGACAATACTGTGTCACAAATGTAAGGAGTAGAGAAAAGTAGAAATAGAAAAACAAGAGAGAAGCAAATTAAAGTTTTTGAGGAGTAATATAATCATACTTTTTGGAAAGATAACTCTAGTTGTGGCATGACTTGAGTGGAAATCCTTGTTGTAAGACTGTAAGCAAAAGGAGATAAACATCTAAAATAAAACATGGCATGGAGAAATAATGAATTTACAAGACATGTCTCAGATTGAAAGAATTTAATGTGAATTTTGTAAATGAACTGATTTCCCCAGGACCTTATCTCCTCTAGGTAAATAGTCAAAATTAAATTCTGAAACTAAATTTAGAGTTAGAACTAAAAAAGTCAAGATCTACTACAATACCTAACACCATGATGCCCAATCAAAACAGTGAGCCATTCTTTTAAAAATCCTGACAAAATTCCTCTCCTTCCCTTCTATTTGCAGCCTAGAATATCCTTCCACATGTTATCTGATTTAATCCTCAAACAGCTCACAATTAAATTAACATTTTAATGAATAAGAAAACTGAGGTTCTATAATTTATCCAAGATCAAGCATCTCTAAGTGGTAGACCCAGGACTCAAAACCAAAGTCCAGCTTTCTTCCCAGTACAGTGTATTAGAAGAGTCCATTAAAGACTTTGTAGATCTCACAGGAGAGAACAAGACCAGATGTACAGAAAGGTCATCATCAGCTCAGAGTTGTCTGTGTGCCAGGAGTCAGAGATAAAATGATTACAGCACAGATTCTGCTCTTTAAGAACTTAAAGTTTTGTGAGGGAGTTAAACAAATAAACCTCTTCTGCTGTATAAACTTAAATAAGTACTCTTTAAAAATCATTTTACCTAAATTTAATAATAAAAAACCTAAGCATACACTATAATCTTTACTTACGTGCAGATTGCAAGGACCTCTGAGACTGCTTTCCACCACTCTTTGAACCATCTGATTTCCCCCCGTCAGTATCCCGATCATCTGGTTCCTTCATTTCCTAAGTGCAAAATTGAGACAGAGAGAGAGACAAAGCTATAAAATAGAAATCATTAACAGATTTTTCCCCCTAACAAATTCCAGAATCACCAAACACCATGCATGTTGATAACCATATGTCTGCACGGTATCTAAGATGACNCATATAAATAGTCTTTTAGTGCAGTATTTAGCAACTGTTACAATTTGTTTATTTAGGATCCACTCCAACAGAAAACTCAAAAATGGGCATACAGCATAAGGAATAGAGTCAGTGGAACTGTAACAGCTATATACGACATCAGAGGGGTAGTAAATTGGGGGAGAGGGGTTATCACTTTGTGAGGGGTATAAATGTCTATTACATTGTTCTGTACACCTGAAACTAATTTAATTAATTAATTCGTTAATTAATTAAAGAAATGGGCATCTTGATGATAAATACGATTTAAACTAAAAACTAGACAAACACTCATTTTAAGTTTCACTTTCATTAACAGAGTCATATCTAACGCTAAAAATGTTTTAATTGCCATCAGAAGAGCTAGACCAGCTATTCTCTGTCTTCAGTGTGCAGCCAAATGGAGTGCTTATGAAAGAACCACGTGGAGGGCTTATGAAAGCTCAAGGTGCAAGCCCCACCACCAGTTTCTGATTCGGTGTAGCAAGGCTGGGACCGGAACATTTGCATTTATATTTACATTTCTAACAAGTTCCCAGGTGAAGTTGATCCTGCAGTATGGAAAGCATTCTTTGAGAACCACTAATTTAAATGAATTGTTTACCCTGCATATAAATCCACCTAAATTTCTGTATAGAAAAAATTCAAATTTCTGTATAGAAAAAAAATCATGTAAACTACTCAATTCGAGTAGTTTACACCCAAATTTTAAAATTTTGCCAAAGTTAAAATGTTGACAAAGTTACCACAAATGAATGTTAACTTATTAGAAGTGAGAAAGATATAGTATCTCTCAGCCAGACACAGAGGGAAATATACCAAATAACATGCCCTGGATGAATTGTTCGGCATTTCAAATGATAGCCATATAAATTGGGTAGAATCGTATGTTTATTTCCGTTATTTTTGTTCATTGGTAAGGTACTGTGCAGGAAGAATAAATGGGTAGCCAAAAAATAAAAATAGGTCACCGTAAGAATAAGTTATTTAAAAAACACATATTGTACTTACAAAATTCTATTTTTGGTTACTCTTTTGCAACTCTTGATTATATACCTAAGGACCAGGAGCTTGGTTTTGACACAGGAAGTGCTGGTACCCAAGGTAACACTGAAGCTCTTTTCCTTCCCTCCTCCAATCCATGAGGGATAAGACCTATGATAGGCTATCTTCCTACTGGCAAGGTGCCTCTTATTCTTCCATTCAAGTAAATACCTATCACTTCAGTTTGAAACACGGCTCGGGTTTATAGGATGGACACTCAACAAGATAATGATAATGCCGAAAACAGCTAACATTTATTAAGTGCTTGCTATGTGCCAGACGTTAAGTTTTATATGAATTCATTCCCTTAATTTTCACATCAACCTTGTGAGCTTGGACACCATTATCATTCCCATCTTATTGATGAAGAAACTGAGGCACAGGGAGGTTAAGCAACTTGCTTGAAGTTATACAACTGTTAAATGTGAGAGGCAGGATTCAAGCCAGGGGTTGGAGCCAAGAAGCAAATGGAAGTAAAATACAGTGGATTCCAAGGACATAGGAGGAAATGGGTTGAGACTATATCTTTGTGGATCTCCATTTACAAAGGAATATTGTATAGGGTATGTGGTCACACAGAAATCTGAAGGGGGATTCAGGCAAATCTTTTACGCCTTATCTACAGTAAGTGAAAAAGCTTCTGCCCTTTCAGATAGGAAGCTGCTGTGGGGTTAAGTTTTGGTGTTTTGCTTTATTTTTAATGGAGACTTGGAGCTTGTAAGTCATTTCCATTATACTCTGTATATAGATTGGCGCTATCTTTTCTGGAAGATAGCTTCATCTGCCCCAAAACATATTTCTCACAGGTTTCTCATAACCTTGCAAAAGTATTTCTCATCCACAAATGGATAACTGTTTCAGAAAAAAAATGAAGTAACATGGGCAATGGAGGAGAGGCCCCTTGTCACCATCTGGGCACCAGAAGCTCCCGCACACAAGGAGAGAAGCTTTCAGGGACATAAACTGCTCACAGTCCAGGGGGATGAGGATTAGGATTAGCATTCTTGTCCACACTACACCTCTAATGACTCACCGCAGACCAAATTATTGTACAACATAGAAAAATAGAAATTTCAACACTATTAGTGGCTATAAATAAGTGAATATTAGATGTTGCTCATTACCCTGTACCTGGTGTGGACCTCATGGTTTGTGCCACCTCAGGATGGCCCCAGACTGACTGCCCTCCACCGAGCAGGAGACCCTCAAGATGGGCCCGTGAATATTTACACACAGCTGGTGCCACAGTATTATGTACTTGTATACATCTCATTTTTTGGTTTCTGCTTTTTAATATGGTTTTTGTCTCTTTAGATGGGTTTTTCAACTCTCTGCATTCTAAGAGGTCATACACCCTTCTTCATTTAAATCCCGGCGTGTTCTGAGTAGCATCGGCTACCAAGTGTTCTAGAATCAATTCTTGCTGAATTCCTTAACTGGTCTGATAACCAACTCCCCGAGGACAGACACTTTATCTTGTACACATGCTGTATACAGACAGGTGACCATGTCAGAAGCAAACATGAGATTATCATTCACTCTTCCATGTCCCTGTATCCTGTTTCCATAGCCAGTCTAAGTTCTACCTGTGGGCCTCAGGTCTTTCTCACCTTCCTTCCCATTGCCATGTCCCTGCTTCAGTACTCAGATCAAGAATCTGACTGTGGGTGGTGAACACACAATGCAATATATAGATGATGTATTACAGAATTGTACACTCGAAACCTACAGAATTTTACTAACAAATATCACCCCAATACATTTAATAAAGATAAAAAGAAGAATCTTCGAAACCTCCTCACTCACCTCCACTTCTAAATGTCCTATCAGGTCCCATCTAATCTAATCAAAAGAACATTCCCCTACTCCCTTACAGCTTTGCCCAGGCTCTCTCTGCTGGAAGCCCTCCGCCTCAGCAGGGGTCTGTGAAGTGGGCCCTGCACCTTCTAGCTCCATCTGGTCTGCTCTCCCCTGGCAGGTCATAATCCCGCTAGAAATCCTGTTGAGGGTCTCAAATGGAACTGCTGCTTGCATGAGCCCCAAATCCTGTAGGTTTCTCCTCCTTCCCCTCACTGTCTCACACAGAATAATCTCAACAGATGCCCTTCTCAAGACGCCAAAGACACCTAGAAGCTCCCCTCAGGCTGTTTGTTATTGGTGAGAGCAGATAAGAGGGGCACCTACTTTTAAAGTGCATAAAGTAGAAAAAACAGCCAGGGGGGAAATTAAATCACAGGCCAGCTGCGATGGAGCAGTCAGGGTAGGAAAGGTAGAGTTAGAAAGGCATTTTTCAGGTTTGGCTACCAGGGGTCCATTAGTCACCTCGGTAAAGGCAGTTTCAGTGAGGTGATGGGAAACAAGACAGCAAAAGCTAGACTTTGAAGAAAAGATCAAAATGCAGCGGGTAAAAAGGATGTGTGGTAAGAGAAGGGCCTTTTAAAATGAGAACAGGTTTATTTCAAATGCTTTTATGCTGAGGATGAAAAGTCTAAGGAAGTAGAGGCTGAAGATACAAGAAAGAAGATGACTGATGGAGACAGACAGCTGAGCAGAGAGGAGACAGGCTCCCAACCACACACAAGTCCTTTTGTTTTCTGCTCGACACTGTTGAATATACATCTATCCTTCATCTTCCCATGTTCAAATATATACTTGCATCTTATCTGGTATTGATCTCTAATTATTATTTGCATTACCATTTGTGTTATTCATCTCGTTATTTTTGCAGAATAGCAAACAGAGCATTCAGTATGAAAAAAGCCTGCATGACGATGGGGAAGTCACTTAACTTCCATAAGCCCCGGTTTCCTTATCTACGAAATGGGATGATATCATTACTATAATAATGTAATGCTGCACAGAGATGACGTCAATGAATGTTGTGGTTATAATCACTGAATTGAAAATGCCTTAGAATAAAAATTGCAGGGCGTCTCACGTGATTCCCACAATACCGTGTATGGGGATGGCACCTACCCATTTGGTCTGCAGATCAAACAACCAAAAAAAACGGATGGGTCTTTTTTCTAAGTTTCTAAAGGCATACCCCAATGACACCAATTCCTCTACCACTGCTACTTCGCAGGTACATCTGTTCTTTGGTTTTCAAATTCAGGAAGATAAGCTGGTTCCCGGCTATGTACATCACAGTATTGCTGTCCAGAAGTTGTAGGTTGGCCCGCTTTTTGCAATCATAACCAAAGGAATGTCTGAGGGAAACTGCTAAGGAAACGAAGTGAAACAATGTAACCATCCTGGAGACAAGAAAAATAACGTGAAGTAAATATATTTTTTAAATCCATACTAGTGAGTAAAATTTGGGGCTGAAGCAGTTGAACTTCACTCTGAAACTCAGAATTTTGTTATGTATTACTAATGCAATTTTATTCTTAAATTAGGTGAAAAGTCCTCGCACTCTGATTTAGTTAACATTTTAAATTTCTTAGGGAAAAACCACATGAGAAGCTCTGTCAAAGTACATGAGCGCAAGCCCCTCTGCACATGCAAATAGGTCTGGGAATGTATCAGAGAATGTATATGTCAGGAAAAGCTTCCGGTGAACCTGACATACCATCCCATTTGAAAAAAAACAGGCTAGGGCCAGCCGAGTGGCGCATTGGTTAAGAGCTGGCTTGGGACGCCAGAGGGCCCTGGTTTGGATCCCACATATGAGGGCCAGTGACACTGCCCTCTACAGCTAACATGTTGAACAACAGCTCAACCTGGAGCTGGGCTGCCGTGAGTCCCGGCGACAGCATAGGCTGCAGCCCCTGCTGCAGTGGGTTGACATGGGTTACCATGTGTAGCCAGCAGCCAGCAGCCAGCAGCCAGCGTGAGCAGCCGGCAGCCACCTTGAGTGGCCGTCCAGAAGCCGGCGACTCATCTGCCTTGCCCAGGAAGAGCACAATGATGGTGCCAACTTGGGCCAGTGAAGCAACGTCCTCCACAACTAGACTGAAGAACAAAAGGACAGCAACTTGTCTGTTCCCCTTCCCCCAACTCCCCAGCGCTGTTCCCATCTCCCAATTCACCAATAAAAATCTCTAAAAAAAAAAAAAGAAAGAAAGAAAGAAAGAAACAGGCTAGAAGGAAGCTAACAGCATAACTTTTGTCAGTAACTTGTTTCAAGGACAAAACAAAAACAAAAATAAAAAACAACCCTTAAGAAAGCAAACTCCAAGTTATAAGATTCAGGGTGAATTAGTTTCAGTTACACTGGGATTGAAACAGGGTTCGAAGCTGTAATAACAACGTCTCTATTTCTGTGTTAAAAGCAAAACTGAGTTAAGAAGTACATCACCCTACCTCTGTAAGCACACCTTTTATAAGAGGCCAGTCAGTGGTCTAGGCCACCTGGTCGTAACCACTGCCCACCTGAAGGTAGGCATACTAAATTGCTAGCCAAGGGCCTTAACGGAAATAGTCTCCTAACTATCCATGCCTTACAAACCTAACACTGTAAAGTGACTGGCAAACGCTAAACCCCCTTGTCAATCATCCCCACCCTTGCATTTCTTCACAGATGCTTATGCTCCAGACCAATTACAACTTATTGTTTTGTGCCCCACTTCCTCTGGGGTGTCTTCTTGGATAACTCAGATGATAAATAATGTGAAAGTACTAATGCCTGTCAATGGCCACATCAGTGTTTCAAGAAGGGAAATCAATGATTTCAACTTGATAGGCATTGAAAAAGGGACGCCAAGCTGGTAGAGAAGGTAAACAGGGATAAGGGGCCCTCTGCTCCCCTTTATATCATGTCTCATGAAAGGACAGCCAGAAAAGCATCATTTCTCCTTATGGTTACTTAGCATCAAACAGAGGCTTAGTTTAAATTAAGATCATGCATTTCTATCTCAACTTCTTTAAGGGCCAAGCTGCTTAGAATTACCTAAGACAGGGGTTGGCAAACTTGTTCTGTGAAGAGCCAGGTAATCAGTATTTTAGGTTTTGTGGGCCAGATGGGCTCTGTTGTAACTAATTCTGCTCTTGTAGTATAAGGGCAGTTGTAGTCAACATGTAAATGAATGAGTGTGCCTATGTTCCAATAAAACTTTATTTAGGGAAATAAGTAGGAGACCAGATTTGGTCCATGGGCTATAGTTTGCTGACCCCTGACCTAAGAAGCTGAAATCCCAAAACAATATATGTGTAACTGGGGTGGATACACCAGTGTGAGAAGATCCAGTGGTATGTTCGAATCCAGAGTCACAAAAGGCTTCGAAACCAGCTCCATATAATCGTAGAAGAAGCTGTCTGATATTTTCTTCTTAACTTCCTCCTCTGCCTCTTCTGCAGCTGGGCCACGCATTTCCATATACTGAGATGCTAAAAAGTGAAAACATTTTAACTAAGAATAACCTGATGAATCCTAAAATCATATTGCATCTAGACAGGAGGAATGTTCCCAGCCCACCAGACTCCAGCGGTAAGTACCACTACCGGCCGGAACCTAGGCTGCCACCAGTGAGCGCCGGAGGGAGGGCCAGCGTGCCTGTGTGAAGCAGGGTGGGTGCCGAGCCTGGGCCATGGTTTCGGCAGTCTCGAAGAGCAGCTCCTCATCAGTTCCAAGGGAGAGTTATTCTCGCTAATCTGGGGTAAAGCACTCCTTGACCATCCCACTCTCCAGAAGACAGAGCATGAGAGTTCTGTATGTGAGTCTCAGAAATGGAGAACACAATCCTAGGGCTGCGAAACCACTGTACAGACTGTGTTCCATGCTTCTCAGTTTGCCACCCCCACACATCCTGCAAATTTGACTTTCTATGGAACAACTATTCAATTGGGACAATTTATCTTAAAACAGTGACAACGGCTGATAGAAAACTAATAATACTTACCTCCAGTGCTTTCCACGTAATCATCTTGAAGTGAACTTGAACTCCCTTCCAAATTTTCCCCACACGAGTCACAATCTTCTAAATATGATTCTTCCCCTTCAGTAAATGTTTCGTCTGTGGTGTCTTCTAAGACTTTGTCATCCTCTTTTGTAGTGGCTATCAAAAATAATTTAATAATTTCTAAATTTTGAATTAAACATTT